CTTTTTTTTTTGGAGCGGGGAGAGGGAGAGGGTGAGGAGGAAAGGAGGGAAAAAGTGTGCTGTGTAATGACAACTCTGAAGATGGACTGAGAGGGTAAACGGCCCAGCATTTGAGAGGTATCTTATTATAAGGAACAATAGCAATTTTAAAAACTCATTTAAAGACAACTTTACATTAAAACTCTCGTTCTTGCTTTCTCCCATCTGTGAAGTAAATATAATCTCTTTATTAAAAAAAAGGCAAAACAAAACTCTAAACAGCAGTGAAGTTGGGGGAAAAATCAGAAAAACTAAAAGCTCCCATAATCCCCTGTGTTCAGTCCAGGGACACCGTCTGGCTAGGGGTGCCATTTGTGTGTGGCCCTCTGTCTACACAGATCATAGCAGTGTGAGCTGAAACACACCCCACATGTGCCTCTGCTAATATTTTCTTAATGGTGGTCTTTAGGTGTCTCACCACTCAGGATCTGTGAGTCTGTTTGACACTTGTGTGTGTGTGTGTGTGTGTGTGTGTGTGTGTGTGTGTGTGTGTGTATGTATGGAAGTGCACACTAGAAGGCCAGAAGAGGACATCAGGTGTCCTGCTCTTCCTCTTTCTGTCTGATTCCCTTAAGGCAGGGTCTCTCACTGAACATGGAATTTTTTTTTAAGCTGATGAATTTACTTACATATTTGAGTTTGTTTTGGGGATTCGATTCTGTTTCATTGTTTGGTCTGTCTGTCTTTGCACCACTACCATTCTGTTTGTATTAGTGTGGTTTTGTAATGTATCTTTAAACCCAACAGTGCAATGCTTCCAATTTTATTCTTTTGGAGCAAGAGTACTTTATCTATTGAGCTTTAAAAAAAAAACATATGAATTTTATGACTGTTATTTCTGTAAAATATAATACTTGTAATTCGATTAAAAACAAGTTCACTGACTAGGATGGTGGTATTGCATTGGGTAGTGTGGATATTGTAAAAAAATGTTATTTCGTCTAACCCATTACAACAAGATCATTCTCATTTTAAGAAAAAGCGAAAGGAAGGAAAGAGGAAGGGGGAGCGTGTCCCTTGCTCTCCTGTGAGTTCATCACTGAAGTTAAGGAGAGTTCTGAGGGAGGTTTCATGAGTGCTGAAACCCCCAATGTGTGTGTGATTGACAGCCATTTCCTCTGCTCGGACCTGTGAACGTGAGGCAAAGCAGGCAGTTCCCGATCATTCCGTTCTTTGTTTCTTGTGTAGTCTCCTTGTCTTAAGGTGGTGATCGCCACTGGGGTTAAATCCAAGGCTAGGTTGATTCCTGATGTGCCTACACGTTTTCATCATCATCAGACACCTTTTACTCCCGTGACCTACCTGCCTGCCGGGTTTGCCTTGTTGTGTTTGTAATAAATAAATCATTATGGTTCACCTTCCGAAAGAGCTGCATTTATAGCTCATTAGAGAATCACAAATGAGCAGGACACCCTGGGCCCCTGTCCTCCCGGGCTGGCAGCTGGTACCTGCTTCTCATGGCTTTCTCAGTTCCTCCTAGGTTGAAAAGTTACAGGTCGCCTGCTGCACAGCTGAGCCCAGGGGTCAGAAAAGGAGGGAGTCTCAAGTCTCTGGTCACACAATAGACAAGGGTTCACACTCTGAACCTGGGAAATTACAGGAGGTGCAATCTACCCGGTATCTAGTCTCTCCCTGAAGAACTCAGGCAATGAGGAATCGGGGGGGGGGGGGGGGGGGGGGGGGGTGCGGGGGGGGGGCGGGCGGGCAGAGAAATGCAATTAGGAACACACACCAAAACCACTGTTGTGAGCTGAACTGTTGTGCCAGCCCTTTTTGCCTTTTCTCTATGCTGATGCTTCTCTTTGCAGGGTCAAAAAATCAAACAGCTTGGCTGCCCCGAGTTGCCAGGACTCTTACTGTGAAGTGAGGCTCTTTGTTTCTCATGGCACACACCCTCTTTGTCCCTCTTCCTCCCCAAACCGTAGCCTCCTCCATTTCCTCTCTCCTTCTGACTTCTCTCTCCTCCTCTTCCACTCTTTTTCCTCCCTCCTCTTCCAGCTCTCTCTTCCCTCTCAGTCCCCGCCCCCCAGCTTTCTCTTCTCTCTCTTTTTCATGTGGCATTAGGTATTGAACCTAGGGACTCACAGTTAGTTAAGCACGTTCCCACTGAACCACACCCAGGCTCTCCTTCCAGTTAAGAACAGGTCGTGTTTTTCTTGTTTCTTGCCGTGTTCTCACTCTGTTCTGTCCGGGCCCCCCCCCCCCCCCGCCCCCTCCCCAACCCTCCCGCCCAGCTAAGAAGATTATTGCTGGCTTGAACATAGTGGCCTCTATTTTCCTGGCTCACATTCAAATTATCACTATAAACCTCAGTTAGTAACTTATAAGCTGTGTTGGAGTCACTCTTGGGACAGGCTGCATCAGGCGGGGAACAGCAGCTATGGGGTTCTCTTCAGGGGGCTTTGGTGGCAACTCCAGTTCTCTGTCACAGGAGAGCAGCTGGTGCTCCTGGGTCTGAGGTCCCTCATCCTGGAGTCCAGGTCATCTGAGGCACGACTCCAATTTCTTTGCTGAGTTATCATCACACTTTCTCTCTCTCTCTCTTCACACTTGTCTCTGCAAATAGACACCAGAGTCATTCTTCACACAACTTCTGAGATTCAGCGTATTCCGTATTTCAAAATGGACTTATCTGGGTCTGGTGGAAAGGGTCTGTCATTCCAGCCACTTGGGAAGCTGAGACAGGAGGATAGCCAAGTTCACAGCCAACTTGGTTAACTTAGTGAGACTTTGCCTCAGAATAAAAAGTTCAAGGGGGGCTGGAGAGATGGCTCAGAGGTTAAGAGCACTGACTGCTCTTCCAGAGGTCCTGAGTTCAATTCCCAGCAACCACAAGGTGGCTCACAACCATCTACAATGAGATCTGGTGCCCTCTTCTGACCTGCAGTCATACATGAAATCTTAAAAAAAAAAAAAAAAAGTTCAAGGGGAGCTATGGATATAGTTCTGTATTGGAGTTTTTCTGTCCCGCCCCCTCCCACAGCCATTTCCACATAATCACTCAGAGGCTTATAATAATCATAAATTCTTGGCTGATGGCTCAGGCTTATCACTAACTACCTCCTATATTCAAATTAACCCATTTTTATTAATCTATGCATCACCACATGGCTTGTGGCTTACTTGGCATCTTGCTCCTTGGGCAGCTGGCTTGCATCCACCCAACTCCACCCTTCTTCATCTTAGTCCTCAGTTTGATTGTCCCGCCTAACTTTATCCTGCCTTGCCATTGGCCAAACACCTTTATTACCAACCAATGGGAGCAACACATATTCACAGCGTACAGAAGGACCATCCCACAGCATAGTTCAGTGGTAGAGCACTTGTTGGGCAAGCATGAAGCCCTAGGTTCAATCCCTAGTAATACAAATCAATAAATAAAAATAAATAGGGTTGTAGACAACTTGGTGGCTAGAGATTGGAAGGCCATCTCAAAGATCAAATGAAGCTTAGAAAACAAAATCAGAGCTATAGGTGAGACAAAACATTAGAGCAGATAGGGATTCTCTCCCTGTGGCTAAGCTTCGAAGCTGGGATGAACCCTACAGGACAGTTACAGACCCAGGTGTGTGCTGTTGAGGTCTGAGCTTTGGCCAGTGGGTGCTGATGGGAAAGTTCAATCACAGACTCTCCCACCAGATCTGGTGATTTTCTTTAAACCTAGAGCTGGACCAAGCGCATGCAGCAGCAGCAGCAGCTCCAGCCAGCACATCATGACGCTGCAAGGCTGCGGTCTATTTTGAGCCTTTAAATCTGTTCCCCGGCTCCTGCAGGTGGGATCTTGCAATTACACTTTGCTCCTTCCACAAGCAGCACCCACACTACAGTGCGGCGGTCCTCAGGGTGGAAGGAATCCGGAAGCACAGCTGGACGCCTGACATAAGCCGTCTTCATCTAAGCACACGGGTGGGGGAGGAGTGAGAGGCAGTGCGACCCAGTGCTCAGCTCCGGTCTCTGCCCAGTGAGACGTCAACACAGCTCATTTTAACTTGGGACGCTATTTGTTCCTCCCCAAGTACAGGAAGCTGTTTCCTATTTAAAGTTGCTTGTTCACAACTGACCCAGAAATCTGATGAGTGGTAAGTGATCAACAAAAGAGAGGTTTGAAAAATTATCCCCACGTGGTGACAAGCAGCAGGTGGTGGCCTCGACAAGAAGTGGCCCTGCCTGTATCTCCAGGCCAGGGAAAAACTGTCCCTCTGGAGAGTGACCCATGGGGGACACACAGGAGCAAACTGGGGGGACTGTGGGTTTGTCTGGGGTGCTAGTGTCCCCTGTGGGAACATGGCCAGGACAGTCAGGACACCATGTCTGGGCACAGAGCCACATAAGGCGGCCCTGCCTTTATTCCATGTGGTGCACTCTATACTTTGGTATCTAGTGAGTGACAGCTTGTTGCCCCCTGGAGGACATGGCATCTTGTATCTTGACCCCTGGCCTTGCCAGCAAGTGGCAGCCCTGTGGGCTTGGGTTGAGCATAGCACTGAGGATTTGAAGGACAAGAGCAGAGACCTCACACTGCACAGAGGCTATGCCTTTCACTGGGAGAGTAGCCACAGGCTGGCTCTGTCCCCTAGGACACATCCTCTGAGAAAATGGCCCCCTTTGGGGGTGGGGGTGGGGTGGGTTCTGAGGCTTTCAGAACCTTCCAATGGCTGGAGGCCAACTTGAAAGAAATGAGGTTTCCAAAGGGCATGGACCAATGAGGAAAGAGCTGGGCATCCCCTCCTTGGATTCTGGTTTTTGCTGTTTGATTTTATTTTTTTGTTTGTTTGGTTGGTTGGTTTCTCGAGACAGGGTTTCTTTCTCTGTGTAGCCCTGGCTGTCCTGGACCTCACTCTGTAGACCAGGCTGACTGAACTCACAGTGATCCTCCTGCCTCCGCCTCCCGAGTGCTGGGATTAAAGGTGTGTGCTACCACCACCCAGCTTCTGGTTTTGGGGTTTTGTTTGTTTGTTTTGTTTTGGGGGGAAGGCTTCACAAATTTTTGTGTCAACCTTGCACAGGGGCCGCGCTAACTCTGTACCATTCCGATTTTAGTATCTGTGCTGCCGAAGTGAGCATGCTTGGATTCTGGTTAAGAGAGGCCTCGGAATCAAAGCTCAGACGGGGAAGTGGGAGGAAAGGAGGTTTTCAAAAAAGTTGGGACAAAATATGTCTGAGGAAAGAAAGGTTTATTTTTGGCTCATAGTTGGAGGGCATACAAACCATCGAGATGGAAAAGGTGTGAGGTGGAGGCAGCTTACTACGATGGGGCAGCGAAGACTGGCCCAGAGGCCTGGCTGGGCCATCAGACTTCAAGGCCTATGGCCAGAGGCCCGCCCTGGAGTAAGACCCCAAGTCCTAGAGGTTCCACAACCTTGCCAAATAGCTCTGCCGGCTGGGGATCGTATGTCCAAATGTGAGCCTACAGGAGATCTTCAGATTCAAACCACAACACTTAGCCAGATGTCTGGATGATTTTGTGAGGAGGAAACACAATGGCAGCCAGAAGACAATCAGCCAGGAAGAGCAGGAAGGTGGGGGAGCCTCTGCGGAGGAGCCTCTGCAACGTTCATAAACCCCACCGGCCGTATGCTAGTTCTCCTAGAGGTCACGTGACAGACGTCTCCCAGCACCAGGTGATGGGTGTCTTGGGTAAGCTGTGGCCAAACCTGTCTAGTTCCTTGTTCCCCCTCTGCTTTAAGAAACATTGTTCTGTAGTAGTATTTTCTCCGCCCGTGACCTTGGGCTATGGGGGGGGGGGCAAAGGAGGAGGTGCTTCCTGCCATTGTACTGACCTCTTGTAAGGAGTTGGAGAAGGGTCACATGCCCCTTCTCCCTGCTCCTGCTTGCAAGGTGGATTCACTCCCGGGCAGACCAGAGGACGGCTTCAGCTGCCTACTCCGTTCTGTATTCGTGAGTGTATTTCCTCAATTTATATATTAATAAATTCTGTTACCCATTTAATAGACTCACGTGATTGATTGTAATATTGTTCTGTACCTTATTCTTCTTGGATTGAGTCATGTTGGGACCCAGAGCCTCATGGGCAATGTTCTGTGACTGGAGAATGTGAGCATCACATTGTGACATCTGTGTGAATCCATGAGCCCAGCCACCTTTGTGAGCAATGCCTCAAGGTGCCCCACGAACCTGAGCTAACTCTATAGGTGAACTGCACAGGTACACTCAGGAGGGGCAGTGAGAGGCCCCGGCCAGCTTCGTCCCTCCTGCTCTGTGGAGGAAAGAGGGCTTCTATGCAGTCAAGTGCCAGGCATGCAGCAAGCTCTGAGCTCCAGTGAATGCCAGCTCACTGCCATTTGTAACACAAATCTTAAAAGGTCTTATTAATAAAAAAAAAACAACAAAAAAAAGCCAGGCGGTGGTGGCGCACGCCTTAAATCCCAGCCCTCAGGAGGCAGATCCAGGCGGATCTCTATGAGTTCGAGGCCATCCTGGGCTACAGAATGAGTTCCAGGAAAGGCACAAAGCTACACAGAGAAACCCTGTCTCCAAAAAACAAAAAACAAACAAACAAAAAACAACCCCCCTAAACAAAAACAAACAAACAAACAAAAAAACCAACCAGAGCCAGATATTGGGGTGAAAGCTGAAAGATCAGAGAAACAGAACAGCCAGCCACGTTCTTACTTCTATAAAATCCTCAGCCTCAAGAGAGTGAGTTCCTCTTTCCTCACGCCTTATATACCTTTCTCTGCTCAGACATCACTTCCTGGGATTAAAGGCATGTGTGCCTCCCAGTACTGGGATTAAAAGTGTGTGTCTCCACTGCCTGGCTCTGTGTCCAGTGTGGCCTTGAACTCACAGAGATCCAGACTGATCTCTCCCTTCTGAGTGATAGGATTAAGGGTGTGTGCCACCACTGCCTGACCTCTATGTCTAATAGTAGCTGGCTCTGTCCTTTGATTCCCCAGGCAAGTTTATTAGGGTATACAATGTATCACTACAGCCATTGTTAAGGAGGAGAGGCCAACACGATTCCTTACATTCACTGTGAATGAATGCATGTCCAGGTCCAGCAGCTCAGAGGACTGTGAGCCCACGGAGACCTCCTCACTCAGAGGGGAAGATTTCTGCCTCACACAGACACCTTGGAGGGGAGAGACATGTGCACAGCGCATTCCTGGAAGGGAGAGCAGAGCGATGGGCTGCAGCGTCAGGCACAACGAGGCACATGGTAGGCTATGTTCAAGATCACAGACCATTTCTTCTTTTCGAAACTCACGGCTCTGACCCAAGAATCCCCAGAGCGCGCACACACCACAGCAGTGTGTGCATGCATGATTCACTGTAGGAAGTGGCACACACAGCAACAGAGTGACGGACTGTGTCGAGCAGACTGTGTTTAAAAGCCAAACGTGGGCTGAAGTGATAGCTCACCCAGTAAAGTGTAGCTAGAGTTTTCCTGCCTGGCCCACGGTCAGGACAAATCTCTCTCACCCGCCAGTCCCACAGCCGCTCAGACCCAACCAAGTAAACACACAGAGACTTACATTGCTAACAAACTGTATGGCCGTGGCAGGCTTCTTGTTATCTAGTTCTTCTATCTTAAATTAACCTATATCTATTAGTCTATAAGTTGCCATGTGGTTCGTGGCTTACCAGTACCTTAACATCTTCTCATGGTGGCGGCTGGCAGCATCTCTCTGCCTCAGCCTTCCACTTCCCAGAATTCTCCTCTCTCCTTGTCCTGCCTATACTTCCTGCCTGGCTACTGGCCAATCAGTATTTTATTTATTAACCAATCAGAGCAACACATTTACCATACAGAACATCCCACAGCAAGTAAAGTACTTGCCATGCAAACATGGGAACCTGAGTCCACCCCACCCCACCAGAAGCCACATAAAAGAAAGCCTGGCATAGTGATTCTCATATATAATCTTGGTGCTGGGGAGGAAGAGACAGGAGGATACCTGGGGCTTGCTGCCATCCAGTCTATACTTAAACTCCATGAGCTTCAGGTCAATGAGAAACCTTGTCTCAAAAACCAAGGTAGACAGAACTCAAAGATCCACAGCCAAGGTTGTCCTCTGGCCTCCTGAGGCACATGTACACACATACACAAGTGTTTTAAAACGCCAAGTGCAGGGCTGCAGGGGATGGCTGCCCTTGGGGACTTCTGTTACATATGATAAAACATTTTTATGCTGAGCTTGTTTTCAGATTGCTGACCCGACTTCCTGAAACCTTCCAGATTCTTCTAGCAGTAAATGGCCATTACCTTGTGCATCATCTGTTGCTCTATCCCAATTCTTCTCTCTTCACATCACACTGCTGCTCTCACGGGAGCATATGAACTCACTTCAGGAAGGGTCAGGGATCTCGTCTAAAAACTGTGCCTCCTGCTTCTGGATGAATCCTCCAGCATGGTGGGAAGTTCTCAACATTTGCTGTGGGACCCCAAGACATCAAACACAGCTTTCCTGTCAGTGTGACACCCCCCACCCCACCCCCAGCAGCCATCCACACTAATTCTGCAGCTTACCGGCCTTTCTTTCACTCCTAGGAGAGAAATCTGCTTCACACCTAATCATGAAATCCACACCTCATGTCACCGAATCACAGGGCCAGAGCCAGGAGGATAGATGCTCAGTCTACTTTCTCTTGCTTTGGTGGCCAGCAGCAGAAGGGCTAGAAAAGAAGCCTGGTCATTCTCCATCAGCACTGAGGGCAAAAAGATGGTTAGTCCTTCAACACCCATTTGCATACTGACACATTCACATGCATGCACGTATGTATCCCCTTTGCACTTACATAAACACACACACTGAACTATACATACTCAGACTGCTCAGCCACACTCGCTACCGCCTGAACTATTTGAATATAAACACACACACACACACACACACACACACACACACACACACTCATGCCCTCATACTGTCACATATGCATGACAAGTATGTGTGCCACATGTGTGGAAGTCAGAGGGCAACTTAGTGGCATTCATTGGCTTCCTCCACTCTTACGTGGGTTCTAGGTGTCAAGCTCAGGTCAAACGCTTGAGTGACAAGCACCTTTACCCGCTGAACCATCTTACCAGCCCCAGGACGCTTGAGACAGGAAACACTTTTTCCAGTTTCCATCCTATGTGGGGAACCAAACATCTACATCCCTGTGCAGTGACCCACCCTGCTACCTCCTGCCTGCTTCAGTGTGTCTTATGGTCCCGCACCACAGATCTAAAGAGGGGGTGGGCTAAAATTCTCAAAGACTTGTCCCTCAAGACCCACCTCTGTCAGCCAAAGTCTGCACCCTATCAAAACACGGCACACCTGGGTACCAAGCATTCAAACAAACAGGTGCCATTTATGCTTTTCCCCCATATTCTGAGGCATGAACTCTAACAGGTGCTCAGACAGGCTCTTATCAATGCCTGAGTGGGAGCTGACAGGGGACTCTGCTGCAGAATGCTGTTCCTCAGTGCCGGAGCCTGTTCTGAGGCCCGGCGGACTCTCTTTGGTGGGCTATGTGGTTCCTGGGAGCCCCTTGGCTCCCATCATGCTGGACAGACATCTCCCACTCACCATAGGGAAGGGTGACTGGCATCTGCCCAGAGGGGAAACGTTCATGGCCAAGTAGTCCCAGAGAGAAACTGCATGCAAGCCACAAAGGACCTTGACCTCGCAAGCACGGTTAACAAAGCTCTCTTGTCCTCCAGCGAGGCGGTGACTGTACCAACAGCCGGAGAGGGGGAGTGTGGGCAAAGCCACCTCCAGGTCTGGATTCCAGGGAAAGAAGGCAGGACGCTTCCCAGCTGTGGACCTTAGAGTCCGGGGAGCAGGCTTGAAGGTGCATAACCTTCTTCTGGGGTGTGTGCTTACCCAGGGTGCTGAACCATTCCTGACCAGAAGTTCTTTTCTGCGGGACCTAAAGCGAGACAGCTGGAAATTCACTACATTTATGCCTTTAAAGTTAATTTAATACAATGAAGTTGTTAAGTACTCGCTTTGTTTTTAAAAATACTGTATTTATTTATTTATTTATTGTGTGTGTGTGTGTGTGTGTGTGTGTGTGTGTGTGTGTGTGTGTGTGTGTATGTTTATGTGCTTGTC